AATAATATGCCTTTACATAACAAAAATAAAATAAAAAAACAAACAGAGGGGTTAGAAATAGAATAGGGGGTGGTATATGATACAGGTGAGTGCAAATCAACTCATGGGCTTAGAAGCCCAAGCCAACAGTAGTAAAAAAGAAAATAAATTAAAAAAAAACAAAACTGAAATGAAAAAGCTGAACGATCCTCTTCTTCTCCAAATCAGTTTTCTCGCTCTTATTCTCAATGCGTCTCAACCCTCTCTCTGTATCTCGCTCTGATTCACTCTCCCCTTCCTCTGCTTCTGATTTGGGTTTATGATGGAGGAAATTTTGAGAGTTTGTGTTGATTTTCTGGGTAGGTTTGTAGATGAATGTGAGTTTCATTGAGTGTTGGTTCGGGTTGAACAGAGGTTTGAATCTGGGTTTCTGAATGTTGGTCAGAGTTTTGAAAATGAAGCGGTTTGGGTATTTCGGTTCGTGATAGAGGTTACGCGGGTCGCGGCGAGGGTTGTCGGAGAATGGGGTTTTGTTTGGAGAAAGGGGCTTCGCGAATATGAAGATGGGTTTCTGGGTATGTTTGGGAATGGGTTTAGTTTGATGATTTTACAGTTTCCGGTTGAAGGTGAGTTATGGTGAGAGTTCGAGCTTGGTTGTTGGTTGTTTCAAGGGTTTCTGGGTTGATGTTAAGAGAGAGTTTTGAGATGGTTGGTTGATGGAAGGTTTCGAAGCTTGTTGGTGGTGTAGGTGATGTTAGATGATGAAGAAAAAAAGTGAGGGAGAGGGATGTTTCGAATCTGGGGTTCGTATCGGTTTTACGGCGAGGTTCGAGAGCTTGAGTTTCTGAAGGTTGAAGAGTCCGTGAATGGAGGAAGGGAGGATAACGATGAGAGGTGAGAGATTCGAAGGGTTCTGTGGTAGTTTCAAAGGAGGTTTTTGAAAGGTGGAAGATGTTGGTAGTGAGAAAGTGAGCTGCGGCTAGGGTTAGGGATTTGTTGGTGTAGAAGATGATGAATAGTAGTATAAATACTACTGATTCAACACGTGGCAGCTAAGGGGTTTTGTTAATGATGGTTTTGACTAATTAACTGCTAATTGACATAAGTGCTGATAATTAACTTAATGAACTATGCTGATGACAATTAGTGAGAGTGATGATAATAGTTGACTCAAAAAGATGCTAACAAATTAATCTAATTTAAACAAATTAAATCTAATCTAATAATATTATAAAAAATCTAATTAACTATTCCTACTCCTATTAAATATTTATCTCTAAAAAAAAGTTAAAGTCCTATCCTAAATTCAAATAAACTCTAATTGAAACTCTAAACTCTATTTCTAAAATAAATAAAATAAAAAACTATTTAAATTAATTCTAAATAATTCTAACAAACCTATAAAATAAACCTATTTAAAAACTATCTCCTAAAAATAAAATATCCTATGGTATTCTGTAACGTTTATAAAAAAAGCTTGAGTTCCATGAAACCTTCCATTTCTGCATTCTGCATCAGCATTCTGCATTTAGCATTTTTGCATATGCATGTGTCTCTCCTCTTTTGTGGCTCATCCGGTCTTCTGTCTTTGTCTGTCAGCTGACATCTCGATCATCTGACCAAGCTCGAAGTACGTACTAAAGGATAGTGAAGAGAACGTAAGATATGGATTCTATGACTGGCTTCAGAGTTGTGACTAATCCGTTATTTGATCTTCCTTCTGATGACAATGTTCAACGAGTGGATGTTCCTATACAACTTCAGCCTGTGCAAGGAGATTCCCAGTTTCCACAACCTATACCTAATCCTCATAATGTTCGTACTGAGGTGAAGGTGGACGATCCTAGATTTGTAGCAATGGAGAAAGGATTTCGTGATCTCAAAGAACAATTGAAAATGATGAAAGGAGCTTATGCATCTGATCTGGATGCTCATGACTTATGTTTAGTTCCAGGTGTAATCATTCCTCCGAAGTTCAAGATGCCTATCTTTGAAGTTTACAAGGGTGTTAGTTGTTTAAGATACCATTTGACGATGTTTTGTCGAAAGATGGCTGCTTATGTTGACAACGACAAACTGATGATGCACTGCTTTCAAGAAAGCTTATCTGGGGCATCCTTGATATGGTATATGAAGCTACAAAGGAACTGTATTCAGTCTTGGAGAAACTTAGCTGATGCTTTCGTAAAGCAATACAATTATAATTTGGACATCGCTTCAGACAGCGATCAACTGATGAGCATGAGTAAGAATGACGATGAATCTTTCAGGGAATATGCCCAACGATGGAAAGAGTTGGTTGCCCAGGTTCATCCACCACTTCAAGAGAAAGAATTAAGCAAGATGTCTCTAAGAACACTGTCAGGCTCTTATTATGATAGGATGGTAGGTGTGGTGCCATTAGATTTCTCCAAGATTGTGGAAATCGGAGTAAACATTGAAAATGCGCTCAAAAGTGGAAGAATTCGTGATGACTTGAATGGCCAAGCTAATGAAAAAATTTCAGTTGATGATTCCCTAGAGGAAAGAAGCGTTGATGTTAATGCAGTTTGGGATCCCTCTCAAATCCTGTTAGATCCATTTCCAGTACCTCGTCCTCAACATCAGTATGAAGTGACTGCTCAGCGCAGATGACGACTACATCATAAGCGAAGGATGATATCTCCAGATCAGCATCAGAATCGACAGCTTCGAAGACGGTTTCAGAATCAGAAGGCACTTTTGAGTATTTCGAAAGAAGAAACTCGCTGGTTTGATCTTATCCCAATGACTCACCGTCAGCTATGGTTTTATTTTGCTAAAAACTCGGTGATGGCACCCAGAAAGACTGGAATCATGAAGTCTCATCCACCATGGTTCAACTCGAACGCCAGCTGTGAATTTCATGATGGAGTGTTGGGGCATTCGATTGAAGAGTGCAAAGTTTTTCAAGAAAAAGTCCAAGAAATGATATATGATGAAGTGCTAACCTTCAAAGGAGGAAGATCAATCGTGAATGGAACATCGTTATGTTGATCACCTATTTATTTTGTTTGCTTATTTCTTTGATTAAAAGCATAATTGGCATGTAAGAACATGTTATTTTGAATAAGTAAGGCGATAAATGTTTGTCTTGAAAAAATCCATTCGTTTCACTCGTAAAATGTTTTTCATAATTTTATAATGCCAATTTTACCCAATCTTTCCTCACTTTGGTGAAGAATTGGAAGGAGGATGACGAAGTAAAACGCATGATCTCTCGTTATATGTTGTTGAATAAAACCCAACTGATGAAGTAAGGCATGGTTTTAAACCTCCTAAACACTAGATATAAATCGGTTAATTCCTCTTTAACCATTTTCTAACCTCATTTTCAACCTGGGGCAATTTTTCAGTCTGTTGGATTGAACGCTTTAGCCTTTCAAAAAGAATGGACATCTTTCAAAAATATTTGGGTACAAATATACTTTGACCCTTTATTCCTTTGTTTTACAAATCGTAAACTAAACCACAATATAACCCTCAAAGTCCTAATTGAAGTAAGGTTTACTTTGAAAGCATACTCAGTGAGATAACGTTTCCTGACTCCTATGAGCTATGCTCAGCTTTTTATATTGGCTTTGTAAAATAAAACTATATCCTAGCTAGTGATTTCTGTCACAAGTTATCGCGATGTCTCTCTTTTCAAAAACTTCAAGACAAACACGTGTTGCTTTAACAGTTTCGAAGTTAACATTTCTGACTTGCTGACTTCGCTTGATATCTTAGAAAGATTACATACAGACACCGATGATTAAAATTTGAAGACTCTGCTGACCTGGGGCAAGTTATTTCTAATTCGTTTGTTCTGTGCAAATTTGACTTCGCCTAAAGAGCTATTTCTGAAGACTCAGTTATAATACCGTCGATCAAGGCCATTTACTTCGAGATTCGGCGAATCTCTCTAAAGAGTTTGAAAACAATGGGACGCCATGTTTTTTGTAAATAAACAATGGCAGCAAAACTATATAACATGCATTCCGACAGAAATAAAATAATAATTTAATTTATAAAAACCTGCAAATCGTACTGATCTCGAATCCTTGAGTAGTCCTCCACAATGTCGGCAGGATTCTACTTGGCGAGAAATAAAGGTACAGAATGAATACGGCAGTCCTATGAATTAAAAGGAAACAAAAAGGAAATAATGCAAGAATGTAAAATGGGCTTCAGTAGAAATTTTGGCAGCACTTCGATACGTCAAATGCAGTTCCCCTTCTTTGGTCTAACTGTCCTCTTTTTATAGCTGAGGATCCATGAGGAAATGTTGAAGGAAAAGGAGTTGAGGGGGAGAAATTTCAGGGCGGTCATGCCTAGATTTTCTCTGATGCGTGTGCACGTTCTGTTTTGGACGTTATTATGATATTTGGTTCATAACGGTCGTGGCCCTCTTGTGATGAGCGTGTTGAACGTGACAACCGTGTTGCTTTTGTGACGTCCGTGTTGGTCGTGACGACCGTGGTGGAGCTGTGACGACCGTCACACTCCCAAAATCTGCTTTTCTGTTCTCTTCTGGTTTCCTTCCCCCTTTTTGTCTTCTTCTTGTGTGCTTTCTATGTCTTGCTCATTTTGAGCGTGAGCGTGAGATACCTGCAAAAAACACTTAACAAACTCGCGGAATAATCTGGATTCGGGTTGAAACCATATAGTTAACAGATAAAAAACACGACAATTATGATGTACATTTTGCGTTATCAACCCTCACTTCACTCACATTGTTAAAATTTTTACAAAAATCATAACTATGAACTTTTAACCACAGTAACAAGTATTTTAACCATACAAAGACCTCCTATTTAAACCTAAAAACCCTAGCAAAGAGGGAGAGGCTCATTGTGCTCAGAACTAGATCAAAAAACACTCTCACTCTCAAAGTTTTTGATACAATTTTGTAATTTAACAGGCGTGCAAGTGAAGTACACTTTGAGGTTAGGCATATATTACTCATAGAAGAAAAGTTTGCTATTAATCTATCAAAGCATGAGTGATCTTGTAGAAGGTGGATGCTGACAGAGCTACGATGCTGTCGTGTTATTTCATGTATGAAGGATCAACATTTACAAGTGGATGATTTTGTGCTTGATTATTACAAAAAGGAGTACTGTGAGACTTGCTATTCACCAATGATTTATCCATTTAATGGAGAATCTCTTTGGACAAAAACAAATGTTGTTAATCTGCAACCATCCCCCATAAAAAGGATGTCTGGTAGACCCAAGAAGAAAAAGAACAAGGAGGTTGGGGAACAAGTGAGAAATGAGACACAACTCAAAAGGGAAAATTTTGGTATCAAATGCAGTAGGTGCCATAAGGATGGTCATAATAAAGCCACTTGCAAGTTGCCTACAACTGCTATGACTTCAAGCCAACCACAACCATCTGCTAGCTCAGTCTAACCATAACCAGATGCTACCTCAGTCCAACCACAACCAGATACTACCTTAGCCCAACCACAAGCAAATGTTAGCTCAGGCCAACCAACACCAGCTGCTACCTCAAGCCAACCAACACCAGATGGAGCTTTAACTTAGAAACCAACCAAAAATAAAAAGAAGCTTCAAAAGGGTCTAAAACCAGTTCTGAGCCAACCATGATCTTTATGTTGGTCTTTGATGTGTACTACTTATGCCACTTTTGGCCTATTTAGTAGTTTATGTGTTAGGCTTATTATGCCACTTTTGTTGTGACTTGTAACAGATGGCATACAATGTCTATTTTTTACTTTATAACTTATGGCTAATTATGCCACTTTTGTTGTCACTTGTAATGACCTATAATGTTACTTTTGATATGATCTTTAATACAAATTCTGTTAAGGTTCTGTTATTATCACTCATGACCTATAATGTTACTTTTGGTATGATCTTTAGAACAACTTCTGTTAAGGTTATGTTACTATTGTTATGACAAAATCATGGTGTGCATTTGTTAAGGTTATGTTACTATTGTTATGTCAACTAGTTATGGTGTGTATTTGTTCTGGTATATTATAGGAAACATTTGTTCTGGTATACTGTTATGCTTATGTTACACCACATAAAAATTTCATTTGTTTTGGTATATTATGGGAAATAAAATGCAAGATTATTCAAAATACATTTCATTGATAACTATTGGAAAATACATAACAATGTTGACAAACACATTTCCTTGACAGATACATTACATGACAGATGAATGTTGACAAATGCATCTCATTACACAGACAAATAACTAACCTAAAATAACATTGTTACAAATACAACATTAAACACTAGGCTCAATATTTCAATCACTACAGACACTTTCAATCATTCCCTAGTGTTAATGATCTTTTTAACACCCCACTTAAATTATTTAGTTATTTCATACTTTGTTGTGCGTGTATTGGTTGTGAGGTCCTTAATAAGGGTATGATGTTAGGGGCGAGGGTGAGAGTTGACCTTAGTTGGGGGTAAAGTGGACCTATGATAAATAATATTAATGATTAATGATAATAATACGAATATTATGCTCATTGGTATTATTATTTTATACTATTAATAATAATATTAATGAGATAGTAGTGGTTGTTATTATTATTATTATTATTATTATTATTATTATTATTATTATTATTATTATTATTATTATTATTATTATTATTATTAATTGGAATAATAAAACTGAAAATCTAATTAAGGGGGATTAGAAGTGGTATAGTGGGGAATCAGTTAGTAATCGTGAAAAAGGAAGAGACTGGAAAAAGAGAGTTAGGGCAGAGGAACCAAGAAACTCTCCATTGTTACCAAGAGAAAGCTTCAATCTAAGGTAAGGGGGAGAATGGATTTCTACATGGGTGAATTAACATGAGAGGGTAGTGAGAGGTCCTTTCTCTCATAGGATTCATGTATTTCTTCTTTTTTTATCTAATTTTCGTAATATAACGCTTTTCTCTATAAATGGTTGTGTTGCTGAATAATTATTGTGTGATGTATGTGTAAATGAATATGAGATCAATATGAAATTCGTGTGGAATCGATTGATGTTGTGGTATGATTCTGACAGGTGACAGATATAGGAAATAAGGGTTTGAGGGTTAACGAAATTGAACCTTACATGATAGAAATCTTAGGAGAATAATGGATAGATGAAGTATAGTGGAGGTAGAGAGAAACGATTAACAAATAACTGAACTCTGGGTTGAGTTGAGTGGTAAAATGAAGAGTATTGAGTGAGGATTCACGAAAGGGATGAAATCTGAGTTTTTGGCAGCAGTTCTGGTGATACGCATATGGGACAGGGCAATACGCATAAGAGACAGGGCAATACGCATATGGTGGGCCTGACAGAAGGGCATTACGTGTAATAGGAAGGGAAATACGCGTATGGGCAGGCCTGAGATGACTTTTTCCCATTTTGGCGATTTCTGCCAAGATTTCGCCTAGAACGCAATTCCGTTTAATCGGTAGGATTAATATAACTAAAATGAATCTAAGAGAGATTAGTAATGAATTTAATTAGAGAGAATGTGGAAAATTATGTTTTTTTCCTTATGGGTGTGATTGATATGTGCGGGCCAGGACCGTCCAGTGTGGACGATCTAGTGTGATGATGGTAACTCCCGAGAGGATTACGGTGAGCGGATGGCTCGTGTGGATCATTGATGATCGTGAATTATGCTTGAAATTATCATTATATTTGCATAATAGTGTTGTCATGCATTTTATGTCCTGTGTCTTACGGAGATGACTAGGTGGGAATCCATGATGGGTGCCTAGTTCATCCGGACTTCATATGGAAGTCGTTGTGGAGATAATTTGTAGTTCAGAGGAACGTATACGACTTATCCGGATTCCGACGGGAATCGGGTTCTAGGGTGAACCGTTGGTATTTGTGTTGGTACCACATGTATTGTGTCGAGTCAGTGAGTTACATTACATATTTGTATTTGATTATGGGCTATTAATGCCGAGTGATTGAGATGGCACGTGTATGTGCGTTGCATGTGTATGATTGTATGTATGGTGTGTAACTACTCCTTAGCATGTGCATTTCACTGCTTATTTATTGAATGTGGTTTTCACCCCTTTTCTGTTTGTTGTGTATGTGCTCCTTGGGGAGTGCAGATGACCAGGTACCTGACTAGTGCTTGGAGTGTGTTGCTATTTGATCGAGTCCTAGGAGTCGCTCTGATACGTAACATGGGATGACGAGATTACGTTATATTTTGCTTATTTTCTTGATTAATTGTTACGTATCTTTTATCTGTTGGATTAATGATGTATAACCACCGGTTGTGGGGATTATGTTTAAACATTTATTTTATTCCGCTGTTTTGTTGAATGGCCTTGTTAAAATATTGTGGAAAGCATGAAGTGACTTGATACTTCATTGAATGAGAAAAATGTCTATGTGACATCCTACGTGTTTTGAAAACTCTGATGTATTTTCTTTAATATTCCTATAATACGCGTACGGGGTAGAGTGGGGTGTTACAATCTCATTATTCAATTTGTAAATTTTCTTCTTTTGCCTCTGGATCTTCAAATCCCTTTCATCAATAATGCCCTCGTCGAACCATTTGAAGAAATTAAAACCCTTGTTCACATGATTTCTGAAATTTCTACAACCCCAAAACTTTTTTTTCCAAAATTGAAACTATTCATGTCACCCACGGTACGAAGCACACATTCTTCTTGGTAATAACATTCCATCCTCTTGTTTCTACAAATTATCGACCCAGTTGTTCCAATGGAAGAACTGCTTGACACCTTAGACATTAAATAATATTCAAAACCTAGGAAGAGATTATGAAAGAAGAGATTACAAAATAACAAAGAGATTAGGAAACTAGAACGAATAGACAAAGGGAAGCAACTTGACAACTAGAAAGAAGACATTAGGAAACCTTAAACAAATTCTTGAAAGCAAGAGCAAGAGCAATTTACTGGAAAACAAGAGGATGAGTGCAAGAGCAATTTTCTTGAAAATATTCAACCCTTTAAATCATTGTTTATTCTTTCTTTTGATGAGTCACCACACACTTGGCATGCCACTTTGTCAGATACTAGCGTTTTAACATTACAACTAACAACAGAAATTTAATCTGTTAACGAAAGTAATATTACGAGACCAATATGAAACAATTTTTCATTAATGGATTTAATCGCAACTCAAAATTAACCTATGCAATTTAGGGACTAATTACCTTTCTTTTAGTTTTAAAAATAATGTCCCAATTTGAATGTTGGTTACTTCGTCAGCAAAACATAAAAAATATTAGCTGAGAGGTGGCATAAATAATAATGTTCTCATTACAATACTGATGCAGCTATGAGTTCAAAGTGCATCAAGTTTGAGAACGGGCTGCGTCCCGAGATCAAACCAGGTGTCAGTTATCAGAAGATCAGGTACTTTCCTGAGCTGGTGAACAGGTGTAGAATCTATGATAAAGACAACAGAGCTAGAATTGCTCACTATAAGAATCTAAGTGACAGAAGAGGCAAATAGAGGCATGGGAATACACCTTACCGTGCTCCGGCTGATAAAGGAAAGCAGAAATATGTTGCTGGGAAGAAACCAAGTGGGGAAGGAAATCCTTCCAATCCTCTCAAGTGTTTCAGATGTGGTGGTGCATGTCACCGTGCGAATGAATTTTAGAATGAGGTGAAGAAGTGTTTTAAGTGTGGAAAACCAGGTCATGTGGTCACGGATTGTAGAACCAACATACCAACCTGTTACAACTGTGGTGAGCAGGGTCGTATCAGCACCCATTTTCAAAAACCGAAGAAGTCTCAGACAAGTGGAAAGGTGTTTGCATTGGTGTGAGCCCAGCCTACCAGTGAGGATCGTTTGGTCAGAGGTACATGTTACATTCATAACACTCATTTGATTGATATTATTGATACAGGTGCAACTTACTCGTTTATTTCTATGGATTGTGTGAAGAGACTGGGGCTTGTGCCGTCTACTTTGAGTAGAGGGATGGTGATTGATACTCCATCTATTGGATCAATCACTACATCTTTAGTGTGTTTGAAATGCCCTGTGTCGATCTTTGGTAAAAATTTTGGAGTGTACTTGATTTGTCTACCACTCAATGAGCTGGATGTTATTTTAGGGATGAATTGGCTCGAGAGCAACTATGTTTATATTGATTGTTATAGGAAGAGGCTGTTATTCCTGACTCCTGAAGAAGAAGAAATGGCTAGTCTTATATCTACTAAGGAGTTGAGAATCTTGGTAGAAGACGAAGCTAAAGTATTTGCAGTGTTTGCTTTGTTATCTATGGAGGGTAAGTCGTCGATTGAGGAATTACCTGTTGTGAGAGAATTTCCTGAAGTGTTCCCAAAGGATGTTGCAGAGTTACCTCCAGAGAGGGGAGTAGAGTTTACGATTGATCTTGTCCCTAGTACCAGACCTATATCTATGGCAC